TTCCTTTGAGCTTTGGAAAGGAGAAGTTCCTGAAGCCTTTTTTGAGCAAACTAAATGATTGAATTGAACTCAATTGGACTTCTTTTCTTCTCCATTAATATTTTTCACTAATGAAGGAGCAATGAAAAGGAGTTAAAGGGCTTGCCATGATAATCAGATTACAATCCAAACTTTCCATAAACAAAAGGCCTGAATGATCTGCTTCATCTAACTCTCCCACCTCTGCCTTCCATTCTTTTCCTTATTCACACAGCTCTGGTCTCCCTGGCCTTCTTTCAATTTTTCCAACACGCCAAGACATTTTAGTTTTTCACATACACTTTTCTCTCTTTGTGGGACACTATCACAGTCTTTCCCTGCTGTTCATAAGGTTTTCAGTGGCTAAATCTTTTTCAAAAGTGGACCAGTCCACATGCTCCTTCCTAGTTGGTCTTAGTCTGGAAGCTACACTGAAACCTGTCCACCATGGGTGACCCTGCGGGTACTTGCAATACCAGTGGTAAAGCAACCAGCATCACAGCAACATGCAAACCACCATAGTACAACCAACTGACAGATGACTGACTGGTGGCTCAATATCATTAGTCAGAAGGCGGCCAGGGGCTAATTGTGGAACAGACCATCAGTTGATCATATGTGAGTTCAAGCCGAAGTTGAAGAAAATTAAAACAAGTCCACAAGAGCCAAAAAAAAAGTATGACCTTCAGTACATTCCACCTGAATGTAGACACCATCTGTAGACTTTAAGCATTGAACACCAGTGACCAGAGACCAGATGACATCAAAGATATCATACACGAAGAAAGCAAAGGGTCATTAAAAAGACAGGAAAGGAAAAGAAGACCACAATGGATGTCAGAAGAGACTCTGAAACTTGCTCTTGAGCAGAGAGTAGCTAAAGTGAATGGAAGAAATGATAAAGTAAAAGAGTTCAACAGAAGATTTCAAAGGACAGTTTGAGAGGACAAAATTAAGAATTGTAATGAGATGTGCAAAGACTTGTATTTAGAAAATCAAAGGGGAAGAACACATCAACATCTCTAAAGCTGAAAGAATTGAAGAAAAAAATTCAAGCCTTGAGTTGTGATACTGAAAGATTCTATGGGCAAAATATACTGAATGATGCAAGAAGCATCAAAAGACGATGGAAGGAATACACAATCATTACACCAAAAAGAA